CCACTCCAGTCCGGATCATCCTTCTTGTTGTCTTTGCTGCTGCCAGAATCGCTGCTGCTTTCGCTATAGCCAGAAGCGATGTTGCTTTTGCTACAGCCATAATTGCTGCTGCTTTGGCTGTAGCCAGTGTCGCTGCTGCTGCTCCCATTGCTTGTCCAAATGCAACAATGACCGTTAACAATCAATGTGAGACAAAGCCAAATGTAGAGGAATAAGAAGAGGCAGAACGCACTGGCATGTTCGTCGTCAGCGTAGCGCATGCGACACATAGTCGTGTTGAAAACCTTCACGATGAGCATTGTGGCGTCATCGTCGTACCTAAAGAGAAGAAAGTACCCGGTCCGCAGGTCGTAGGCATTGTAGAACTTCTCCTAGCCACGGCACAGGTACATGTGGCCCTCCTCGATCACCAAATCCACGTCCCATAGCCTGCGAACCCCGCTGCCGGCCTGTCGGAGCTTCACATTATCTGGCGGATCTTCACCCAACATGTTCATAAAAGTGTCAGGCAGCCTCTGCAATTTGGGACAAGGAGTGATGTAGCAAACAACAGAGTTATCATAATGAGATGGGTGAAGGGGAGATCTCTCGTTTTATATACCTGCCTCGTGGCTGATATTGAAGTCCCAAGTATGATACTGAAGAACTCGAAAGCATCCAACTCGTACTCCGGTGAGGCAGAGCGGTGGTGGCTGCTTCCCCCCATCTCCGATAAGCAGCAGAAGAGACCAATTAGTACCCTTACAACATTATCATACAACATTATAGCAGCATAAATTTTGAGCAGAAGATAATCAACTACACCAATGCACTTCCAAAGTTCCCGCTTCCCACCCATGATGTTGTTAAGCGAGGACTAGTGCCAAATGCATTTTCGGTACGAAAATACATCACATGCCACTATGTTATTTAATATCATTCTTCTCGAAGACTAATGATTGTTACATCCTACTAAAATGATGTTCTGTCCTCAGAGATGTCTCGTTGCTTATGAGGAAGCAGCAAATAAACACTTGAAAAAAGCTCTCGTCCTCGAAGATGCAATATCTGATTTACCCAAGGTTGGCCCTGACAATTTCCTTCCCATGTTCAATTAATTCTGGAGTGTTGCTTGAGCCTTTTTTTATGTCTGTATGAATTATATTGCTTTCTACAGGTTCAGAACCATCAGCCTAATGATGTCATGGAGTATGGCAGTGACCCCAAAACAGAGTTCCAAAGCTATATCCGGCTCAGTAGTAAAGGTGTGACCTATTGAATGTGCAAGCTTAATGTCAGCAACTAGTTTCTTTATAATGATTTTTTTCTCAGTTATGCCTTCTGTCTTTGCATATGCAGAGTTATATCTTTTTATTTCAATCATGTGGGTGGGTTTAATGATGTCAAAACCTTGCCGTAGTTTCCACTGTTTTAATGTTTTGTATGATTTCTTGGTTATATTACCGTTCTGAGTTATGTTGTTCTGTTATTTTATTTGAAGACATGAAGGGTTACTTATTTGAAGATGCTACTCCTAAGAAAGGTCAACTATTCGATCATCATCCTCTACAATTAAAAAATGATGCATTCTTCCTTTTCCTTTCCATCTTCTTCTTCTCCACCTCTCTTCTTATCTTGTTCTCCTTTTTCTTTCTTCTCCTTCCTCCTCCTCCTCCTCTTCTCCTTCTTCCTTTCTTGTTCTGTTTTTTAACTTTCTTCTTATTCTTCTTCCTTTTTTTCCTTTTTCCTCTTCTTCTACTACTTCTTCTTTTTTTCAACTTTCTTCTTCTTCTAATTATCTAAACCTAAATCTAGCACTAATCTAAACCAACCACTAACCTAAACCTATCAATAACCTAATTAAACCTAAACAGCAAAGAAAAACAGTAGAAAAAAACAAAAAAATGCTCACCTTGGCTCCGGGGGCAAGGGGTGGTGGTGGACGGCCGCGGTCAGGGCAGCGGCTGCGGGCCTGGCTCCGGGGGGGCGCGAGGCGGACGCAGGGAGGCCGCGGCGAGCCTGGCTCCGGGGGCGGCGCAGGTGCAGGGGCGGCGGCGAGCCTGGCTCCGGGGACGGCGCGGGCGCAGGGGCCG